TTTATTTTTGTTATAAATCATTTTTTGTTGTAAAATGAAATTACTACTTGTCAAAAATTTTCAACTTTGTTGGGACTTTTTGCCCTTTTACAATTAAAATTTATACCCGATACTAATGTAACGGAATATCAGCCTTGAGCTTTTTGCAACGCTTCGATCAGGTTTGCATTTTTTCAATGGGTTCAACTGTAGCTTGGTGCCATGTTAGACATTTTTTGGGTGAGTACTCAAGTGATCTCAACCTCAGACGGCGGATAACTGACGGAGAGAAAGCTCTTCTTGCCGCCAGTCACGCGCGATAAGAACCGTTCAAATATTAAGTAATTTTCATTACGTTTGCCACATGAGAGACACAGTTCAAATCAATCTACAACAACAGTGATCTTCCGTCAATCGTCTTGGGATCTTTGGTAGAAAAAACGGCTATATCTTGCCTAATTTTTTTAAGAAAATCGCTGTTGGCAAACCAAGATAAGCATTATTTATCTGTAAGTCTTCACAAGAAAGGTACTACCCACCCAGCTATCCTTATTGGCTTAACTCTCCCTTGGCTGCAAAAAAGGCAGCATCTCTAGGAAATTCCTCAGACACATATTTCTTTAATTCTCTCTCAGCTTATTCCCTGACTCTGTTATTCGCAAATTCACATGCAAAACTGTTTTACGCCTCCCTTGAGGTGGTTTTCGAGGGCATGCTCGTTAGCTTCCCAGGCAAGGTTCTCATCAACGATTGCGGAAGGTCTCAATGGGGTGAATGCTCTTACTACGCAAAAAAAAAAACCTAACGGTTAAATTTTCAGCCATTTTACGGCTAACGGTTATTTGACGCTTCAGAAAATGACAGATCGCAGATAGGAAAGTTTTTCCTGTTAACTTTTCTTACGACTAACGGTTAACATTTGTCAATTTTTACACCAAGGGGCTAAGTTTTTTTCGTTTTTCAGCTACCAATGAGATTGACGGGTCATTGAGAATCCTTTAATATCTACACGTCTACCTTCAGAACTCATTGAAACCGCGAATCTTCTCACCCTGGTACGCGTGTTAGTATCTTCGAAAGACACCTCTTCAAATGCTTCATTAACCCTCACATTTGCCAAATCCCTTGTAACTAGATCTTTTCCAACTTCATTGGTCGCCCTCCTTTCAGCTGTCGACGCAATACTTTTGGCATTAACAACCTGACCAACAGCCTCTTTTACACTTTGTCCCGCTACATCCTTTACGGCACTCAATGCACCAAAAGTAGAAAGGCATAATACTGCATACAACAAGTTTAGGCCTCCTCTAACCTTATCACCATCATAGAAATTCTTCGCCGCTTCAACGAAATTTAGTGCATTTCGTAATCCAGACAGCATATAATCTGCAGCTGCTCTTAAAGTAATCCAGGCAATAAACTTTAAAGAATATATGGGCCACGATTCGTTCGACATCTTTACGGAAGGTTGCTGCGAAGAAATGTATAGGGTAAAGAGTCATGCATGAATACTCTGAAATAATGACGGTTAAGTGACTAACTGGAGTGAAAAATTGAATGGCTCTTGAGATGGGTTTGAGATGTTCCCTGAGCCGCATACAGGTCTTAACCCAATAGAAAACTCATGGGTCAATTAAATACAGCTGGAGTTAACGCATGTCAGGATGCCACCTTTTCAGTAAAGCCAGTCACCTATCGGGGTATAGGCTCGGAACGCGCCTGTCTCATCATTCATATCATCCGCGTCTAGATGTTACTTATTAACATTGGGTAATTTTAAGGGCAGTAAAATATTTTGTGAAAATGGAACGGGTGTATTTCGTGGAACCTCAAGGAGGCTCCATAGGGTTTTTGATCCCAACTGCGCGTTTTTTGGGACTTGTTGGGGTGCATGATATAGAAACCAAGTCCGCATTTTGAATTACAAAATTTGTTTCGCGCGCACGATTGCTTATCTTAAGTTCTAAACATGTCGTAAATTATCTTGTTAGAGCTTTTAATGTTAATCTTCACCAAACGCCTTAGTCCTGCATCTCAAGCGATTGAAATTTTCTGCGAAATCGATTCACCGACCAAATGTTCAAATATTCGAATTTTCTGCGAAAAATTGACCAGGTGTAAAGACCACGGCTGCGATACCATGATGCAAAATTCATCTGCCTGATTTTTCCACTTTACTAAGGTTAGAACCATAGATTTCGTCAAACGTTGCTTTAAAATTTCTCGGTCATATTTCACAACATACGAGTGTCATTGCCGAATTATATCACCTCAAAAACGATGTGTTTGACTTAATCGTCTACGTTGTCAGTATTATCTTAGAAATCGTCCAGTATTCAAGTTCACGATGGCATCGAACTCCTGAGGTCACTCTCCTGTAAAAGATTTCTTCTTTCAAGCATTGACCTTTTTGTTAAAAGATCCTTAAAAGGATTACTTTGTTAAACGTTGTCTTCCTTAGAAATCTTTGAAAGATTTGCCCATATGTGCATAAAAAGTTAGTTTATATAGACGTGTAAGTACAAGAGATCGATCGAGTCGTTAAGAAATTAAACTCCTCCTAAATTTATGAAATTTAAGAGGAGTACAAACCAAAATTTAAGGAGCACACTATCTTAGTAAAATATGTCTTGAAACTTCCTTAATATTTCTGTTTCAAATAAAGCTACGATCATAATAGACATTTGCATGCTTAGGCAATTAAACAATTAAAAATTCTCAAATTCTCGGAAATGCTATCGTGCTCACCGCTGATCTCCTTTCCTTCCTCTGTCTCTCTCTTTGTCTCTCGCTCTGTTTCTCCCTCTCTTTAAAAGAAAACAATCGTAGGTTAGCTTTTTTTCTGAGTCCCCATGAGGATCGAACCTCAGACCTTCGGATTCCGCGCTTCGATGCTCTACCATTGAGCCACATTACGAAGTTCATATGACACGCGTCCTACCTAGGATCAGCAATGTTCATAGCGTAATGTTTGTAGATAGAAATAAGAGAGATGGTGAGAGATGGTAATTTGTTATGAAGTAATGGTTGAGCCTTTTTAGAGGAATCCTAGGTTATACACGGTAAATTAGCGATGCCCCTTCAATTTAAAAGAACATTATGATGGATACTGTGAACATAAGAGAATGCGCATGTCATGCGATATATAGATAGCTCAAAATTCTCGGAAATGTTGTCGTGCTCACCACTGATCTCTCTTCCTTCCACCGTCTCCCCGTATCTCTCTGTCTCTCACTCTATTTCTCTCCAAGCGGTAACTTGGAGTTTGCAACAATTCGATCAGGCTCGCATTTTTTTCAGTCTCTGTACACTTCAACTGTAGGTCGGCGGTATGTTGGACAATTTCTGGGTAAAATAATTTCACATCTGAGGAACATTTCAGAAAATAGTTTTGCAAAAGTCTAAGACTCCAAGGCTGAAATAAGAGCTGACTCTTAGATATGTGAGTTACTTGGACATGTAGTTTACAGCTGTGCGTGACGGTTTGGCAAATATCACCACAAAATTGCAAGTCTTTCCCAGGGTGTTGTTCAGAAAACAACTTACATTATTTGGAGTCGTCGAATTTGTTGCCTTGTTTTAAAATAACATAACCAAAAGACTTCCTTTAAAACAAACAAAAAATGCATGTATTATTTTAATCAGTCAATCTCTAAATACTCTACAATTTCAACTAGTAGGTAAATGAACAAATTTAATAAACCACTACAGAACAGTGAAAACGAGTAAGCTTGATAGTTACAGAAACATCCGGTTGGCTAGTACTCGACCTTCATAACAGTAACAAAGCTTAAATTTGGTACAGTTTATTAAGACCTCTTTATATAAATGTAAACAGTCGAGGATAACTATTCAAACTTTCAACTGACAAAACACTACAGATCACTGAAAATGCGCAGGCTTATAGTTTACAGAGACATCCGGTTGTCTTATACTAAACCTTCATAACAGTAACCAAGCCTACATTTGGTTCAGTTTGTTAAGAGCTTTTAATATCAATGTATACTGTCTAGAATAAATACAACTGCTAGCAAACACAAACTTTGATAAAACACTATAGAACACTAAACAACTGTAAGCTTGATAGTTACAGAAACATCTGGTTGACTTATACTCAACCTTCATAATTGTTTTTTCGTTTTACAGCTACAGTCAAGATTGAGATCATTGAGACGCTTTTCATGACTTATTTTCTCAACCTGGTAAATTTGTTTCTATCTTACTTCACTCATACAGAAGAGTGGGTGTGCAGCTCCAACTAGGGGTCCGAGTGTTTAATGCCCAAGCGTACAAAGGTACAGAGAACAGTAAACAACTAGTTTCATCTGAATCACCTCCCGGGCTAAAAGCATTCTGTTTGCCGCCGCGTAATACGAAAACCCAAAAACCCAGTGGGAAAAAAGGAACGTATTCTCCATCCAAATGCAGGTGCGCCAGCCTCTGCGAGCTGGAGGGAAAACAGACTAAATTACATGTAAGAAAAAATTTTGACGTAAAGTTGAGATGAACACACCACAAACGTCAAACCTTAAGGACGCCGTACAACAAAAGACGAAGTTAACGCCACAGCGTCTCACGTGCTTACATACTGATAGGAAAAGATTCACATTCTTTGTCACTGCCACCTTCAAGTGACGGATCCAGATCTTGAGCTAAGGGGGCGGGGGTAGTTTTTTGTTGCTTGCACACAAGGTCCAAGAAGTGGGCAGAAAAGATGTGACCACGTCAGCCCTACTCCGTGACGACAGCGCGGACACCACTCTTCATCTACTCCGTCAACCATTTCTTCGGTATTTTTCAACTGCAATGTCGCGTTCTGGCTTTCAGCTATCAACACAATTCTTTTAGCACCATGAACAACAGCCTCTTTTATACTTTGTTCAGCTACATCCTTTACAACGTTCAATGCACCAACAGTAGCATAGCATACAACCCCATAAAGCAAGTTTATTACTCCTCCAACGATATCACCATGATAGAAATTCTTCACCACTTCAACGAAATTTAATGCATTTCGTAATCCAGATTTCATATAGTCTGCAGCAGCTCTCAAAGCAATCCAGCCAATAAACTTAATTGTGTATACAGTCCACGATTCGTTCGACATCTTTGCGAAAAGTTGCTGCAAAAAAATATATAAGGTAAAGAGTCATGCGGGTAAGTGACTAACTGGAACGTAAAACTGGATGGTTCTTGATGGGTTTGAGATGTCCTCTGAGCTGCATACAGGTCTTAACCAAATAGAAAACGCATGGGTCAGTTTGTATTATGGAGGTAACACTTAACACGATGCCATTTTTTCAATAAAACCAGACACATATTGGGGTAAGCTCGGAACGCGCCTGCCTCATCAGTCATATCATCCGCGCCTAAGTGTTACGTGTTAATGTTGGGTCATTTCAGGGAAGGTAATGTACTGAGCTCTTACGTGTACCTTATTGTTACTCCTGGGAACATAATTTCGCACAATCGCTATCTAAAAAGGTATATTTTAATGTTTAAAAAACAAACTTTATAAAACAGCACAGTTTTTATGTAATTGGCTTTGTCCTAGTCACAAACAATTCGCATCAAATAGCTTGTTTTTGTTGAAATTTGTCAGAACTAATCGAATATATTCAGAAAAACAAAAAAACTTAGAAAATATCGGCAAAGCCACTTGATCAACCTCGAGTTTTTAACATTTTAAAAGGTCGGGCAGTATTACTTTCTCGTAGCAAAGACTGAATATATTTCATCGAGGGAAGTAAATATCTTAAGGTATTTAGGCCAGAAATTGAGATATACCTGCCTGTTATTGGTAACGTCATTCAGTTAAAATTGACTACCAAAAGAAACCCTTAGTGTACTTTATTTACATTGATTTTCGAGACCAGCCTTTTTCTTCGCAATAACTTTCTAATAGTAGTTGTCTCTACATGTTTGTTTACGGACGTTAACTTGACATTTCCCGCTAAAAATGAATTCTTGCTGCGCTTTTTTTGGGACTTGTTGGGGTGCATGATATACAAGCGAAGTCTGCACTTTGAATTATAAAATTTGTTTCGCGCGCATGATTAATTGTCTAAAATTCTAAACATGTCATAAATTTTCTTGTTAAAGCTTTTATGCAAATCTTCACAGAATGCCTTAGTCTTGCATCTCATGCGATCGAAATTTTTCGCGAAATCGATTGACCGATCAAATTTCCAAACAGGTGTAAAGACCAACTTCTCCATCCCATGGTGAAAAATTCATCCGCCTGTTATTTTTACTTTACTGAAATAAAAACCGTGGATTTTGTCAAACGTTGCCTTAAAATTTCGAGTGAGTATCATTGAATTATATTACCTCAACAACGATGTAGTTGACTTAATCGCCTGCGTAGTCAGTTTTATCTTAGAGA